CTCCCCCCGGGCGTCCGTCCTGGCCTTGTACCCATATTCCTCGGGCTGGCTGGGGAAGACCCCGGTGCGCGTCAGGACGTAACAGAACAGCCACACCACCATGATGGCCAGGATGATCTGCAGGGCAGACACCAGGGAAGCACCCACAACGCTACAAACCCATGCCTGGAAAAGCAGGGATGTGGGGGCACCTCAGGATGCTCCCAGCCCGTCCCTACCGGGAACATCTTGAATATTTGGATGCGGAGCAGGACGAAGCCGTGGCCCCGGCGGTAGCCAGGCAGGCAGATGGCAACCTGCCGCAGGTACTGGGCAAACAGCACGATCAGCAGGATGGTCCTGAGGGAAGAGAAACACAGGGTTCCTCGTGCCCCTAGCGTCCTCCTGGCTGTGTGTTGGACAACCCTACCCCCTGTCCCCCCCTCCCTGTTCCGTACATCACAGCGATGCCCCAGTGGGAGCCGGCCCGCTCGCCGGCCGCCTGGAACACGGACAGTCCGATGAGGGACACGGTGGGGGTGACAGTCAGTGGCCCGATGTAGCTGAGCAGCGCCCCGGGCAGCCCCAGCAGCCCGATGACCACCTCCACCAGGCTGGACACCATGATGGCCCCCTGGATCTGCAGGGTATGGAGAGGTGGAGGGAGGGGGGGTCAGCAGCCTGCCGGGGGTTTTGGGGTCCCCCAGGGGTGGTGGCAGGATGTACCTCTCGCATGCGGGGCTGCCAGATGTGGGAGGTGTTGAGTGGCAGTGACCAGTTGCCATAGATCTGCTCTGGGGATGGAGGGGGGTCAGGCGGTCCGGGGGGGGCAGGGAGCAGCTGGACACCCCCCTGCACCCCCTCTGCCCTCACCTTCGGGAGGGCATCGCCACTTCTCCAGGGCCAGGATGGACTTGGCAGGGACGAGGAAGGCCAGCGCACTCGCCTGGAAGAGGGGCAGCCTGGGGGGACGAGAGGGGATCCTGCGCCCGCGGCCCGGGGGTGGGCAGGGGGTCCCGCCAGGGCCACGGCTCTACCTGATGCCCACGGTGGTCTGGATGAGGGTGGTGATGCCCACACAGGTGAAGATGGTGCCGATGAGGTAACTGACGGTGAGCTGGTCCTTGCCCACGCACATGCTCTCAGCCAGCAGGAACGGGACGGCGATGGTGCCGCTGAAGCAGGTCAGGTAGTGCTGGGGGGCGAGGGGGGCTCAGCAGGGCTGGGGGGGCCGTGGAGGGCCCATGGCACAGGGAGCAGGGGCTTGGGATCTGCCAGTGGGGCTCCCCCCTTCCAGGCTGTACCTGGAAGCCGAGCAGGATGCAGAGGTACCAGGGGGGCACGTCCTCAATCTTGTAGAGCATGTCCATCTCTGGCCGGGGGGGCCTGGTGCCCACCCTCGGGTCCTGCTGTGTGGGGGCACAGTTCAGCCCTGGCTCACCCGGGGGACTGGGGGCAGGGAGTGGCAGCCCACACTGTCCCCACAGGTGGCACAGGCTGCCCCGTGGGAGCCTGTGTCCTCAGGGATGGTGAAGGGTCCTGGCTGGCTGGTCTGCATCCCATGGCATGTTACAGATGGATTTGGGGTGCTGTGCTGCCCACGGGGTGCCCCAGTACTCACCTTGCCTGCCGCAGGCAGCTCCTTCCCGGGGGTCTGTGGGGGTCCCGCAGCAGCCAGAGCCAAGTTCCCATTCTGGCAGTGAGGGTGAGGTGGGGGCTGGGTCAGTGTGGACCCGGGTGTCCCATGGAAACGGGGCTGGGCTCTGCCCTGGGGGTGTGGGGGGACACCGGGCCGTGGCTCAACCTGTGTGTCTGTCAGTCCCACCCAGCACCACCTCTGACCCTCCAAAGGGGTCTAGGCTCCAAAACCCACTGCTCCCTCTGTGATGGTTTGTCCCTGGAAAGTGTGGAAGGGGGTTCCCACTGGCCCTAGAGTGCCTAGGCCACCCTGCAGGTGCTGGGAAAGCTGGTACAAACCAGTCCCAGACGCAGCATCTCTGCATGTCCCATTGGTCCCGGGAATCCCCGCAGTTCCCAGGCTCATCTCGTCCTTTGTAGGCCCCAGCAGGGCATCCTGACCCTGCTCTGGCCATCGCTGGGGTCAGTACCGCTGGTCACCACCTCCCTCCCCGCCACCCCGGGATGTGACCAAGGGATGGGGATGGGGACAGGGATGGAGGCTGCGTTCACCTGGGGCTGAGCCAGGTCCCCCGAGCGGGTCCCCATCCTCCGGCGACGCGTCCCCGGCGGCGATGTCACTACTCGGGGGGTTTTATGGGCGTGGGAAGGACTTTAGTCACCTCCCGGGCGGTGGCGGTGGCAGGGGCGGAGGGCGGGAGGGCGGACATTGGCTGCGGGTTGTGAAACCAGGGAGCGCAGCCCCGGGACGGATCAGCCATTAACTGCTTTAATTAGGGCTGCACCCATCGGGAGCACCGCGTGGTGAAACATTAGAGCCGGTGGGTTACAGAGTAATTCCCGGCTCGCCGGGAGGGGCATCGGCCGGTGCCGCATCTCCCCCGGGCTGGGCGTCGAGGGACAGCGGCGACAGCGGCGACAGGCGACACCGGGAGGGCTCCCACCGCCCGGCACGTGTCGGCTCCCGCCGGGGACGAAGTCGGCTCCGAAGGTCGCCGGGGCATTAAGCATTAACCGCGCCGGGGCTACAGCTCGTTCTGCAGCGCCTTGGGGGGGGCGGGCGCCCCGGCCTTGCCGCCGCCGCAGGGCCCCTTGTCCCCGTGGCACAGCAGCTCCCGCAGCGCCGCCGGGCCCCGCCGGTGGCTCTCGTAGATCTGCGCCTCCCCCTGCTCTCCCACGTAGCCGTGGCACATCTTGGAGAGCCTGCGAGGAGCCGGGGTGGTCACGCTGCATCCCCAGCCCTGGTGGGGGGACGGTGCCCGGACCCCCCCGCGTTGCCAAACCCGCACTTACCTGTCCGGCCACGGCCCCCCCGACACCATCACGCTCACGGGCTCCTGCCTGGGCAGCCCCGGCCCCGCCAGGCGCTTCTGCCCGTCCAGCTCCTGCACCCCGTAACTGCGGGGAGAGGGGGAGTGGGAGAAAAAAGGGTCCCTGGGGACACCCCTATCCCTGGGGACACCCTGATCCTTGGGGACATCCTGATCCCTGGGGCACCCCCATCCTTGGTGACACCCTGATTCCTAGGGATATCCCTGTCCCTGTGGACATATCTATGCCTGGGACATCTCCATCCTGGGGGACACCCTAATCCCTGGGAACACTCCTGTTCCTGGGAATATCCTGATCCCTAGGGATACCCTGGTCCCTGGGGCACCCCTGTCACTGGGGACACTCTGATCCCTAGGGAGACCCCTATCCTTGGGGACACACTCATCCCTGGTGACATTTTAATCCCTGGGCAAACCCCATCCCTGGGGTCAACCCCATTTCCAGGGACACCCCACTCACCTCTCCCAGCCCTGTGAGCAGCTCCTCTCCAGCACCTCCAGGTAGTCAGACTCCTTCAGCGCCTTCCTGCCCACCTTCCCCTCCGCCCTGCTCAGCTGCTCCTCAATCTGCGGTGAAAAAGGGCAGAATCCGGGCAGTGAGGGTGGCAGCCTCTCCATGTCCCTGCTCCCAAGCAGGACTGGGATCTGCACCCCCTTCCCTGCAGCCCTGGCACCCGCAGCACTTCTGCAGGGGTTGGTGGGTCCACGAGGAGCTCCAAAAGCCCTTTGGGGTGCCAGTGGGGGAATATGCCTCAGTGGGGTGCCCAGGGGAACCGGCAGCGTCTCCCCAGGCTGAAGCAGCCCTTTAAGGGTTCTCGCTCGCAGTCTTGGGGGTCCATCTCCCCCATGCCCACCTGGAAGGCGATGGCTCGGCAGGCGTCACAGCGCAGGGATTCGGGCATGTGGGGCGAGAGCTGCTCCTCGGGGCTGAGCCGGGGCGCGGGGATGGAGCGGGACCGGGCAGCGGGGGGGTCCCCGCACGTCTCCTCGGCCCCCGTTCCCCCCAGCAGGCTCAGGGCCAGCCATGCCGCCAGCGCCGGCCCCATCCTGCCTCTCCCAGCCGGCCCCATCCTGCCACGCTGCCGAAAGCGCCGGGGGAGCTGCAGGGTGGCTTTAAACCCCCCGGGGCCAACGCACCTGCATCCGGCTGGGACGGCCCCGCCGGCCCCGGGGCAGGAAGGGGATTGTGTGCGTGGGTGTCCCCCTCCTCCAGCACCCGCTCTCGGGGAGATCTGTGGTGGTGTTCAGCTCTGTAACGACTTATCCCTCCTCCTCCACCCAAATCCTTCCCGGGATGGTGTGGACCTACCGGGGTTGGGGCTAGGTGGGAGTTTGGGACTCAGGGATGGGGCTCAGGGATAAGGTTTGGTGTTCAGGACTGAGCTTTGAGGTTAAGCGCTGGGATTTGGGGTTCCAGGCTGAGATTTGAGGTTGAGAGTTGGAATTTGGGGTTCAGGACTGGGGTTTGGAGCTCATGGCTGTGGTTTGGGGTTCAGGGCTGGGGATCAGGGCTCGCTGATGACTGCAGAGTCCCCTCCTGCTCCCAGGGGTTGGGATTCATCTGGTGGACACTCCAAGACAGACAGATGGACTGCAGGTTCTGAGTGCCTCAGCCTCTCACCCTCACCCCTTACAGATCTTACAAGCACAGGATGACTAAGCAGGTTTAACATTGCCTCAGCATTTTTATTACTATTTTAGTGTGTCTGTGCTGGAACCGTGGCTGGGGGCGCTGGTGGTGGCCAGGCCATTACTCCCCCTGTGCCGACCAGCCCGGGTCACCCTTAGGATGGGACCAGAAGACAGGGGGAAAGCAGGGGCCTGGCATCTCGTCCCTTTGCCGGCAGGGGTCCATGACTCCATGTCCCCCCCAGGGCTGTCAGGTGTTCACACTGGAAAATACCCTTTTTCTCCCCGTTTCCATGAGGAGCCAGCGAGGTCCAGCCAGCGCCCACTCAGCCGTGGGCAGGGGCTCTACCGTGCCAGGGGTGATGCTGACTATGGGACTAAAGCCTGGCCACGGGAAGGGACATTCCAGGAGGGTGCCTCTCGTCACATCCGGAGCTGGGGTCCCTTCTCGGGGCTGGTGGGGGCAGGGGGCTGGGCGGGGCTGGGGCTGGCGCGCATCCCCGTGGGGATGTAGTACAGGCTCTCCAGGTACCCACAGTCGGCCCCCCGTAGCAGAAGTCCCTCGCTCTTGGGAGCGGAGCTGGGGGTCCCTGCCAGGCCGGGGTTGTCGGCAGCCGGCAGGTCGGGGTGTGGTGGGGAGGGGGCGGAGGGTGGGGGCGGCGCCGGGAGCCCCGGGAAGCCACTGTAGGGTGTGTAGGATGGGCCGTAGACTCCCGGGGCCATGACCAGGGGGTTGAAAGGTGCCTGGTAGAGGCCGGTGTGAGATGCCACCGGCGGGACGAGCACCTCGAGGTACTGCCCGGTCTCGGGGTCGTAGAGTGTTTTCATCTGCGGCTGCCGCGGAGGCTCCACGAAGTAGCATTTGCCGCTGCTGGGATCGACCAGCATCCTCCGCTGCGGGGGCGGGGGGGCGGCCAGGGCCTTGGGGGGGCTCTGCCTGCTCCTGCCACTCGGGGAGGCAATGTCAGTCCTCCTTAGGAAGTGGGGACCATCCTCCAGGTGGGGCTGGGCTGGGGGCTCAGAACTGGCTGGGCCTTCAGGGGGCCGGGCCAGGGGGGGCTCAGGGCTGGGTTTACTCCAGGGTGCTTCCCCACCAGCCAGGGGATACAGCCCCGGTCCCAGTGGAGCACTGGCTGAGCTGGGGACCAGAGGGGATCCAAAGAAAGAGCTGGAGATGCTGGAGACTGATGGATGTCCAAGGGAGGCTGGGACTGGGTTGGTGACCAAGGAGGATCCAAAGGATGAACTGGGGGGGTTGGGGACCAAGGGGTTCCCAAAGGATGCACTGGATGGATTGGGCACCAAGGGGTTCCCAAAGGATGCACTGGATGGATTGGGCACCAAGGGGTTCCCAAAGGATGCACTGGATGGATTGGGCACCAAGGGGTTCCCAAAGATTACACTGGATGGATTGGGCACCAAGGGGTTCCCAAAGGATACACTGGATGGATTGGGCACCAAGGGGTTCCCAAAGGATACATTGGGTGCATTGTGGACCAGTGGGGACCCAAAAGACATGCTGGATGGATTGGGGACCATGGGAGACCCAAAGGATACACTGGATGGACTGGGGAAAGAGGGGGACCCAATGGATACACTGGTTGGATTGGAGACCAAGGAGTTCCCAAAGGATGTGCTGGCCAGGTTGGGAACCAAAGGGGTCCCAAAAGACTTATTGTTGTGGTTGGAGACCAAGGGAGTCCCAAATGATGTGCTGGCCAGGCTGGAGGCAGATGGGTAGCCAAAGGATGAATTAGTCACGTTGGTGACCATGGAGGTCCCAAAGGATGCACTGGACAGGTTGGGAACCAAGGGGGGCCCAAAAGATGTGCTGGCTGGGCTGGAGACTAAGGGGGTCCCAAAGGATGCACTGCCTGGGTTGGGAACCAAGGGAGTCCCAAAGGATGTGTTGGCTGGGCTGGGGACCAAGGGGGTCCCAAAGGATGCATTGCCTGGGTAGGGGACTGAGGGCAGTTTTGGCACTGGCAAGGGTTTGGGGGCTCTCTCAGGCATTGCCAAGTAGTTGGAGTTGTCAGCGGGGGCCGCAGGAGGGTGTGGCTCTGTGGCTCCCGGCCACTGTGGTGAGAGCTCCCAGGGCTCCCTCCACTCTGGTAGCTGCCTGGGGGCACCTTCACCTCTCTCCCCGGCTCGGAGCGAGGCAGAGGGGCCGGTGCCACCAGCAGAGCTACCGCTGCCCACTGACACCCTCCGGCTGCCCGGCGGCTCCTGCCTGTGCTCGCTGGCCCGTGGCTCCGCCACGCTCCTCGCGACCGGTTCCGCAGGCCGGGGGTGGGCGCTGCCGCCGGCCGGGGGTCCTGCCCGGGGGTCCCCGCTGTCGCTGCCCCCAAGCCACTGCCCTGTCACCTCGCACCCCTTGGCCATGTGGGGCCCTCCAGTGCCACCAGGGCTGCGTCCCTCCTTCACGGGACTGGGTGGCGATGGAGGGAGGAGAAGGGTCTTCTCTGTCCGCAGCACGGCGCTGCTCTGGGCCGGGGAGCCCTCCCTGGCCACTGGGGACGGCCGACCCACCAGGACGTGCAGGTGGGTCTCCACATGTGGCATCCCCTCGGCCAGCGGCGCCCGCGGTGGCACCCTGAGCTCGCTCCGCTCCCGGCGCGGGGGGGACGCCGGCGGCTCCTCCACGGCGGCTGCTTCCCTGCGTGTGGCCTGGACCCTCGTGATGTTGATGGGGGAGCTGTGGCTGGGCGAGGGCTGGCTGCCCCCCGAGGGGGGCTTTGCGGGCCCCTCGGCGCACACTGGGGCTGGCTCTCGGCCGGGGGCTGCCGGCACCTCCTCCCCGGCCGGCTCGGCCGCGGGCTCCCGGCGGCACACGGAGGTGCAGTGGATGACCAGCGGGGCGGCCGGCAGCGGGTCCGCGTTCCTCGCCGGTGCCGCAGTGCCACGGGGTGCGCTGGCAGTCCCGAAGCTGAGGCTGTAGCTGCTCTTCACCAGCTTGCGCACGTCTCGGGGCTGCGGGACGCGCCCCTTCCCCTTCTCCTCTGGCTTGGGGGGGATGGCCGGCGGGGACCGCCGGGGTGCCGGGATGCCAGGGCTGGGTGGCCGGCGGGGCGCTGCCGGTGGCTTCTCCTCCGGCCGGCTCTGCGGCAGCTTCCTCAGCTCCTGTGCCCGGGGGGCGAAGTGACGTCGTGGTGCCGTGGTGGGGAGTGCCCGGCTGTCGGCCTTGAAGGGGAGGGCTTGGGAGTGGATGGGGCCGATGGCTCGCTCCTTCAAGCTGGGCCACGGCTTTGGTGCTCTCCCAAATCTGGGGGCGACATCCAGCACCTTCCCCACCCCGGGCTGGCCTTCGAACAAGGCGCGGGCTCGCTGGTAGCAGATCCTCTCCGACGTCGGTTCCTCCCTGGCGCTGGGCAGCCAGCGGCCCTCCAGCACCTCCTGGTACTTCATCCTCTGGTTAAGCTCATTGAAGGTCTTCCTCAGGTTGCAGACAGTCTCCCTGGTGGCTTCGCTCAGCACCACCCCCTTGGTGGGATGGGTGGTGGTGGTGTCCCCCACGGACACGGGCATCCCACCGCCCCGCAGGTCCTCGGCCGAGAAGCTGCAGTCTGAGCGCGACAGTGAGCTGGACTTGCCCTCCAGACCATCCCCCAGCAGGTCGGTGCCGGCGGAGGACGGCCCCGAGGAGGTGGAGCTGCCCCGCAGCCCCTTCTGCTCCATCTTGATGCGTTGCTCGTACTGCATCTTCTTGGCCAAGACGTTTTTCACGAGGCACGAGGCCGCCCTGGTCCTGTCGGTGCCGGTGTCCAGGGAGGCCGTCTTCATGAACTGCTGGTAGTTGAGCCTGAAGTCGTCGCCGATGGCCCTACCCTTGCTGGGGGGCTCCTTCCTGGCAGGGGGCTGGGGCTGGGGCGCCGGGCCGTCCCCCCGGGGACCAAAACCCGTCTCCTTCCTCTCCTTCCTCTTCAGCAGGATCTGGCGCTTGGGCACCGTCCTCTTCTTGCCGTGGCCTTTCCTGGCCTCTCCGCTCTCCAGCTCCACGTCCACGCACTCGAACTGCTCCTTCCCCAGCAGCTCCCCGTCCACGGCGGCGGGGAAAGGCCATCCCACCCTGCCGTGGAGGGCTGTCCCTGCGCCCCGGGGCTCCCCGGGGGCCGCCGGCCACCGCCGCGGGCGCCCGCCGTCCTCCGACAGCGAGTTGGAGAGGCTGGACGAGGTGTGGGAGCTGCACATGTCGAGGCGGGCGGCGGGGAGCCCCGAGAGGCTGCGGAAAGCCCTGGCCGTCAGCGCCTGCACCTCGCCGTCCAGCTCGTCCGAGTCGCTGGGCGCCCCGCCGAGCATCCCCCCGGGCTGTCGGGGCACCGCCGGCTCCCCGCCCGCCGCCGCGGCCGTCCCGGGCTGCCGGTCCCTTCCGCGGGGACCCATCCTGCCCCCCTGCCCCGGCGCTGGGCTATTCTTAGCCGGGCCGGACAGCTGAGCCTGCTGCGGGCGGGCGAGGGGGCCGGGCGGGGGATCGCCTGGGGCCCCCGCCGGAGCCCAGCGCTCCGGGGCAGCCCGGGGGGGCGGCCCCTCCTCGTCCAGATACTCCAGGCAGTCCTTGAAGATCTCCGTGCCGTCCGAGCACAGCGCGGAGTGGTAGGAGGACACGGAGGAGCCCGACATGCTCTTGGCGAGGTCGTCGCGGGGCAACCCGGGGAGGTTTCCCTCCTCCTCCTCCTCCTCCTCCGCGGCCGGCCGGCCGTGCCCCCCCGAGCGGGGACCGTCGCCGTCGGGGCCGGGCAGCTCGGCGGGGGACAGCAGCACGGGGTCCCTCTTCCCGCGGGGCATCACGGCAGGGGGGGCCCCGGCGGAGCCAGCCGGGGCCGGGGGACCCTCCTGGGTGCTGGGGCCGCTCCGCCGGGGCCGCTGGCTCGTCCTTCTGGCTCGCCCGCCGTGCCGGCGGCTGGACCCGGCGGGGCAGAGCAGCCCCTCGATCACATGGACTCAGCGAGCGCCAGCCGGGCGAGCCGATGCCAAGCGCATTGCAGGGATGCCGCGGCCGCCCCCGGCCTCGGGGACTTGCCGGGGGGCCGCCAGCACCACCCCTACCCCCTCACCCTGCCACGCTGCTCCCCAAAACCCCAGGCGAGGTCCCAGGGCATCCCTACACCCCATACGGGTCCCCGGGCGTGTGATCCCATGGAACGAGCTGAGCTGCTCCGGAGCTGGCAGACCCCTCTGGGGACGCCCCATCCCCGGTGCTGAGGGCACAGCAGAGTCCCAAAGCTGCAGCTCTGCCCCCTCATGGCTCATTTCCCAGCCCCTCTGCCCACCTTGCCACAGGGATGGCGTGTCCCCATGCTGTGGGTTCCCCAAACCCCATCCTGCCCCGAGCAGTGGCTCCCTCAGATTTAATCCAAGCGGCCAGGAACAAACTCAACGCTTGGGATGACCCCGGGCACAGAGTACCCCTGGGACTCACAGGAGCTGACCGATGGACCGCTACCATGTGTCTTTTTTGGGGAGACCCAAAACCAGCAGCTGAGGTGGTTGGTGTGGCACGAGGGTCTCTGCAGCTTCCTGGCCCAAATCGCTGCTGGTGGAGCCCAGTCCCAGTTTTTGTGGGGATTTTTGCTGTGAAGCAGCAGTAGCAGGTGCTCCCCAGTGCTGCCAGCCCCAGAGCAACCTGATGCCCAAGTCCTCTGGGTTCATGCAGGGACTAAATTTAAACCTTGGCAAGGAGAAGGAGGCGAGAAAAGCTTCCCAGAGAGCTGGGTTGGTGCTTAACCCTTCACTGCTGAGCTGGGCTGGGTTTGCAGGTGGCATTTGTACCCATGGGGAGCAGAGGGTACCTTGCCATGGGCAGCACTCACTGGCACGGTGGCCTTGGGCAATAGAGTGTGTGTGATTTCAAATTCCCAAATCCCTAAATCCCACCCTTTCTTCACAGAAAGGGTGGTCAGGCACTAGCACAGGCTCCCTGGACAGTGGTGGAGTCCCCCATCCCCAGAGGGACTTAAAAGACATGTAGATGTGGCACTTGGGGACAGGGTTAGGGGTGGCCTTGGCAGTGTTGAGGGAGTGGTTGGACTTGATGGTCTTAGTGGGCTTTTCCAACCTAAATGATTCCATGATTCTATGGAATATTGATTCTATAGCTGGGTCACCGCTGGCTCCAGCCCTGGGGACGTGCAGGCAGCCCCTGCCCACTGCTGGATTTGCAGTGCCAGGGGATGTCCAGACCCACAGCACAGCGGGGGATGTGGTTCCCCTCCAGTTGAGCTGACCCCTTAATCCCCAGCTGCTCCAGATCCCAGCAGGATGCTCCTTCATTCTCCCTCCTCTGCCGAGGGTTGTACCCAGAATCCCAGTGCCACCAGTAGCTGGTGGGAAAGGGAGGTTTGTCCAGCCCACTGGTGTCCCCCTGAGCCTCCCGGGGTGTCTCACCGATGCCTTTGGTCCATCTGGGTATCAATGCTGGGGGTGAGGAGGAGGCAGAGAAGGCACAGGGATGGCTGTGGGAGTTGGGGAAGCTCTGGATAAGGTAAAATAATGAACTCAGGAGGAGGATCCCCTCAGGCACAAAGGGAAAGGTCCTTGTGCTGCTGCCTGCAGGTCGTGCTGTCCTGGCAATGCTGAGAGGCAGATTTAGGGCAATGACTCACGGAACTGCTGCAAACCTTTCACAGAGTCACACAATCAGAGACTGGTTTGGGTTGGAAGGGACCTGAAAGATCATCTCCTTCCACCCCTCTGCCATGGGCAGGGACACCTTCCACTAGCCCAGGTTGCTCCAAGCCCTGTCCAACCTGGCCTTGGACACTTCCAGGGATCCAGGGGCAGCCACAGCTTCTCTGGGCAACCTGTGCCAGGGCCTGCCCACCCTCACAGGGAACAATTTCTTCCCAGTGTCCCACCTAACCCTGCCCTCTGGCAATGGGAAGTCATTCCCCATTGTCCAGGCCCTTGTCCCCAGTCCCTCTCCAGCTCTTTTGGAGCCCCTTTAGGCACTGAAAGGGGCTCTCAGGTCTCCCCAGAGCCTTCTCTTCTCCAGGTGAACACCCCCAGCTCTCCCAGCCTCACTCCAGCCCCCACACTCAGTACAGTCTTTGCTGCTGCACCTCTGACACCCAGGTCCTGCCAAACCCAGACTGAACACAGTGCCCACAGCTGTGACAAGTGACACAACAGCACCGGGAGCTGTGCTGGACACCCACTGTCCATCCACCCATCCATCCACCCATCCATCCACCCATCCATCCATCCATTCATCCATCCATCCGCTTCCTGGCAGTGCTGGGGAGGGGAATGACCTGCACACCCCCTGCTCCAGCCCCATGAGGATGCAGGGCTGGGCTGCAGCAAGGACTGTCAGCTCAGTGGGCTTCTCCCAGCATCTTTAACAAGACCAAGTGCTGGTGCTGCACCTGGATTGGGGCAACCCCTGGGATCAGTCCAGGCTGGGGATGAGCAGATGGAGCACCCCTGGGGGGCTGGTGGGGGAGAGGCTGGACATGACCCAGCCCAGAACCCCCTGTGCCCTGGGCTGATCCCCCAGCGTGGGCAGCAGGGCAGGGGGGATTCTGCCCCTCTGCCCCTCAGGGGAGACCCCCCTGCAGAGCTGCTCCAGCCCTGGGGAACAGCACAGCAAGGACATGGAGCTGCTGCAGAGAGTCCAGAGGAGGCACCAAGATGGGCAGAGGATGGAGCAGCTCTGCTTGGAGGAAAGGCTGGGACAGCTGGGATTGCTCAGCCTGGAGAGGAAAAGGCTCTGGGGGGACCTGAGAGCCCCTTCAAGTTCCTAAAGGGGCTCCAAGAGAGCTGGAGAGGGACTTGGGACAAGGGCTTGGAGTGCCAGGACAAGGGGGAATGGCTTCAAACTGCCAGAGGCAGGGTTAGATGGGATACTGGGAAGAAATTCTTCCCTGAAAGGGTGGTGATCCCAGTTTTGCCCTGAACAACCCGTCTGGGTGTGCTGTGGGAGCACAGTGGGAATGGGCCGGGCAGTCCCACCTCTCTGCCTGAGGCTGCAGGAACTCCTGGGCAAGGGCCACACTCCAGCGTCTCCTCCTCCTGGTCCTGGGATTCCTCCCTGCCCTCGGTGTGGCTCCTGATTTGCAAACAGCAAAGAGAGGAGGGCATGGAGACCCTGGGGTCCTCTTGCCAACTGAGATCCAACTGGTTTAGGGTCAGAGGTTGCAGATAAACCTTCCAGAACCCAGAGGAGGTCGGGATGTGCGTGGGAGCCTCGGGCACAAACACGTTACAGAACAGCGGGTGGACCAGGCTGAGCCAGCCTTGCTAATTAAATACTGATTTATGTTTAAGCCAGCGTGATCCTGCCTGCAGCTCACCACTACATTTGCTTATTAACCTGGATTTGGTGCCAGCTCGGTGTGTGCTCACTCACCTTCGCGCTGGCGCGCTCGGCACAGAGGCAGCGAGGAGGAGGAGGAGGATGAAGCTGCTGGGAGCTGCCCAAAGCAGGATGTGCCTCTCCCACGGTGGAGCTACTTTTTGCAATTCCGGAGGAGCAGGAAACACGGGCTCAGATTGGCTTTCAGAGCCACCCCTGGAGCTCAGTTGGGATCTGGGCAGCTGGAACACGCGGGCAGCCCTGGCAGAGCTCGGGATTGCTGTGTGAGCCCGGGGCAGGCATGAACAGCTCAAAGGGACCCTTCCAACTCCCCCCCGGGTGGGGATGTCACGGGGCTGCCCTGCGAGGTACGGGGTGCTGCCCGGGCAGGCGCCAGGGCTGTGTGCCAGAGTGCCCCGGCCCGGAGTGCGGGCCCAGGCTGGGCTACAGCAGGGCAGGAGGGTCCTGTAACCAGGAGGTGCCACGGCAGGGCTTTGACAGGCAGCTCTAATCCCATCCCCTGGCCCTGCTCCCCACTGCCCCGCTCCCAGCCCCGTTTCCAGCCGCGAGCCCCACTCCCAGACTCCTGCTCTGCTCCGCTTGCTCTTCTCCCAGCGCCCTGTCCTGTTCCCAGCCCCCTATCCCACTCCCAGCCCCCTGCCCCGCTACCCCTCTCCCATTCCCATTCCCACAGGGTCCCAGCACCACGTGCCGACCGGGGAAGGGGCGTGACCCGAAGAGACCCCGCCCCGAAGGCGGAGTCCGAACAAGCCCCGCCCCTCCCGCTGCTAGGACAGGGACAGCGATGGGGCCGGTCCCGATCCCGATCCCGATCCCAATCTCGGCCCTGTCCCGGTCCCGCGGCAGCCCCAGGGTCTCCCCGCCCGCCGCCACGTCCCGCACCCCGCTCCCCCAGCGCCGGGCCCGGCCCCGCCATCCCGCCCGGGACACTCCCACTGCCCCTCCTTCCAGACCACGGCACGCACAGGCAGAGATGTCACGTCTTTAATTTAAAAACTCCAAATACATCCACACACACAGAGCATTTCCCAGTGCTCGGTGTTCCCGGGGAACAGGGGCACCCCCGCTCCGAGCCACCCTCCTACTCAGGAACACCTTTCCCTCTCTTACTCTGACCCAGAAACACGGAGCCCGAGCACCTCTGGAGAAGGGCAGGGATACATTTCCACCCAAAGGCTCCAGCGAGGACTCTCCTTTTCCCTGTGGAGCAGGATGCCTGTGCTGTACAGACACGGCTTGTCCCGTTTGTCACAGACACCCCGAGCCACACACCCCTCCCAGCACACACAGCACCTGACACCCCCGCTATGAACAAACAACTCTTATTGCTTTGGGAAATTATTTTACCTCCCAGTCTCACCTCCTGCTCCATTCCAGCCCCCTTCCTAATTCCAGAGAAGACTCTGTATGACTGTGCTTCCCACAGGAGGTCCCCAACTCCATCAAGTCCTTGGAGATCTCTGGATGGAACGGTGTGATCTGGTTCCAGTGCAAAATGCTGTGTATGAGTTCAAGCTCCATCAGGACACGGCAGGTCCAGGGAAGTCCCTTGTTTGGTCTCCCCACCTGTATCCCTCTATAGCCCTGGGACTCCCACAGGAAGGTCTGGGAAGATACCAACCCTAGAACCAGGTCCAACCACTTGAACAGATGTCTAATATATTCTACAAGCTATTTAATAGATAAAAAGCAACATTAATTTTGCTTTCTGTACACACTCATGCTGAAAGGTGGGAAATACCAGAACTAAGACTGCCTGCTCTGCCAGCCCCCATCCTGGAATAATCAACCTTTAATAATCAATCCAGCCACCATCCTGGAATAATCAACCCTTAATAATCAATCCAGCCCCCATTCTGGAATAATCAACCCTTAATAATCAATCCAGCCCCCATTCTGGAATAATCAACCCTTAATAATCAATCCAGCCACCATCCTGGAATAACGAACCTTTGCAGGCTGGCACCAACCCACTCAAAATGCCCTTTGCACTGGTGCTCTTCCCAGCCCAGGTGCCCAACAAACAGCTCAACTTTCCCACCTGCTCCTGTGAGGTTTCCTACAAACAGGATACAAATGTTAATACGTAATTTAAAGAGTTACTTTGTTGGGTTTTTCCCATTTTTGACACACCACCACCCCACAGTAGCACTATTGCCTTACTTGGAATGTTCTCATCACATCTGGAATGTGTCTGGCTCGTGTGCAGGAGCACCAAGCCTCAAATCCCTGACAGAAACCCCAAATTCCAGTGCAGGCCCCAGAAAAGCTTCTTTTCCTCCAAACTTGTTTGCTGCCCAACCTCCCCCTGCTGTGTTAACAGGACAGGGACACGGAGGGGACACTCTGTGGTACCCACAGTGCCAGTCCAAGTCCCAGCCCCCAGGGCCCCTCAGCAGAGCACGTGGACAACACTGCTCCACCAGGCACATTGACACCTGAAGTCTAAGCTTTAAAGACAGGTTTAATCCTGGCATTTCCCAAACTTTGGAGCACTTTGCTCCCTAGGTTTCAGGCAAAGCCATCTGTGCATCCTGTAGCAGGTTTTAGGAATGGGGCCACCCCAGAGCCTTGCTCAGGTCTCGCTGACACCCATTCCAAGGTCAGAGGGGAGCAGTGCTGTGCCCTGGCTGCCCCCAGCCCCCCACCCTGGAAGAACAGGTCATTCCATGCCTGGCACACACCCGTGGCACCCACCAGAGAAACTGGAGCTCAGCTGCAGTAACACTGGTCTCTGTTGCTCACGGGTACAACCAGCCTCAACCTGCTCCTCAAGGCCTGACTTTGGAAAGGAGGATCAAGAAAAAACAGGACACTACCACATGGATCTTTTTCTTTGCAATACTGATGTCTACAGTGGAACATTCATAACTGCTCAGCAGAGTCAAAATATGCTACATGAGAACTGTACCAGGAAAAGCAGGGCCCCTGGAGCAGCTGGAGAAGAGTGTGCAGATCCGAGTCAGAATGGAACAGCCAGCTTCAAAATATGCCACTGAAAACAGATGAGAAAATCAACATGGTGCTTCTTTCCTTACAGTTTTGCAGCCACTGCAATTGGTGCAGTTCACGCTCCCATCTTCTGGGTCGTGGTGGTGTCACACGGAGCAGGGCAGGCACGGACCCCTTGGAGCAGCACAGGGTCCAGTCCCTTGGAAGAGGCAGAGCTGGAGAGAGCTCAGGTGCTCACCTGGGGCACGTACCTGTCCCTCCTGCCCTGCACAGGACACTGGAACTACACCCAGCACTGTGCACAACACTGTCCACGGGATCCACTGCACTGCAGCTCCACAGGAAACAGGGAAAGCCAAGCCTGCTCTCCTGGGAAACACACACAGTTTGGATGGCACACAAACCACCGACGCAGAGGGGTTCCCAACTAAGAGCATCTCCCTCGAATGAAGGTACAAAGTGCCACTGGTCCCTGGAACTGAATCTAATGTACAGGATATATTACAGCAAACAGCAGCTCTGCAGCTCGTGCTGGCCCTTCTCTGCACTACGTGCAGAAGGACTCCAATATCCACTCCTTACAAAAGACTCCTTCCCTTTTTATACAAAGGAAAATAAAAACATAACTTAAAACAGCAATAAATAAAACTATGGAAGGTGTGCATCCTGCTCAGCCCCCTTTGTGCATCCCAATCAGACTGGAGAGCTTCTCACAGTGCTCAAGTTTCAGGGATTCTGCTTTCTGTTTTAACCTCTCATCTCTGTAGAGCTTGGCCAAATTGGACAAGTCAGACTCTGAAAGATGGAAAAAAAAAAAAAAAAAGATGTATTAGGATGAAGCCGTGAGCCTCCTTTTAAGAACTGTTTCTCAGTGCTTTGTTATCCTTGTGGCACTTGTTAATTCTAATTTTGCTGGGTATTGAATCCAAGGAGGTGAAGAGTTACCCGAGGGACTTGTCTGAAAGGCCTCTGTGCCCTTTCATTGACAATCTCAAATGTCCTTTGCATATTTGTTCCCCTTCTTCTCAAAAGCAACATTAAACTGAAATAATCCCATTGTTTAAATTATTTCCCCCCAGTAATTCAGAGAAGTTTCTTTTGCTGATTAGTTAAGGAAATCTTAATATAGCTTTCTCCCTGAAGAATAATTTAGCTGCAGGATTAGATGCACTGAGGAGAACAGCAGTAATTTACTTCTGAAAAGGTCAACCTTTCCGTAAGCACAGGCTACCTGATGACACTCAATTTTTCAAAGAGCTTTTACACACCTCACAAGTCCCTCATTTCACAAAATTATTCAGAGTGGAAAGAACTTCAATAGGTCCTTTCATGCCTTACGTCCTGTGTCCCCGTCCCTGAAATTTAAAGCCATTTAACCCTCCACCCGCTTACTGAAAAGCTTCACAAACTGTCAGGCATGAACAGTTCATTTTAGAGTAGGAACCCATTGACAGGTTTATAACCCAAATGCCACTCAGGCAGTGCTGGGCACACAGCCTTGACAAGCCTCCAGCAAAACCAGACTCGGGTAATTGTCTCTGAGTCCAGAGTCCCTGGAATTGTGCAGTGGAGAATCTCAATTTCCACTTATCCAATTGGGAAAAATTATTCCCTGCACTTTTGACAGGGTTTATTCCATCACATCTTCTCCTTGTGGGTTTCAATCCTCTACAGAGTTGTTCCTTTGAACTTTTCTCTTTAAGGACATCCTAGAATACTGAATTTTGGCTGCGTTTATACTGGATATTGGGAAGAAATTCTTGGCTGTGAGGGTGGGGAGGCCCTGGCACAGGTTGCCCAGAGAAGCTGGGGCTGCCCCTGGATCCCTGGAAGTGTTCCAGGCCAGGTTGGATGGGGCTTGGAGCCACCTGGACTGGTGGAAGGTGTCCCTGCCATGGCAGGGGTGGGACTGGGTAAGCTTTAAGGTCCCTTCCAAGCCAAACCATCCCATGATTCTGTGACACATATCCTGATTCTCTCTGTGTTCAGTTGCCTCTTTGTGACCTGGAGCTCTTTGGAGCCTCACTCTACAACTGTGCTATCCCAGCTGAAACATTCCTGTAAAAACCTGGGATGTGCTTTTTGTACCTAACTGTGCCAGAGGTTTCAGAAGACCCAAATTAGAGCACACACAACTTTCACACACTGCTCTGCTGAGAAGGGGAGTCCTGTTTACTGCAGCACTATAAAAGCAACTGGCTGAACAAAATACCAACCTGTTACTTTTAAAGTTTTCCTTCAGGTTGATGAACACCAGGTAGCACTTTCCAAGTCATAAAACCAAGGACTTTAAAACCAAACTGTTCCTGAGTAACTCATCTCTGTCCATTTTGCTGGCACTAAGGAGAAATGCACCCTCAGTAAACACAACAAATGCACTATTAATAGACATTCAACTGACAAAAAGCTGATCACACCAAGTCAAACACTTCAACAAGGATTAAGAGACCAATGCTGTGGAGCAACAGCTGACTACGAACTGCCTCAACATCTCCAGAGCTTTTCCCCAGCACTCCACACTCTATTCACAGTTTATTTTTACAAAGTGAGCCCAACCTCAGCTGTGCCCCTTACCTGCTCACTGGATTAAATGGAATCACTGAAAATGCTTAGTTTTAATTACAGTGGTGCCCTCAGGCTCCTGCTAATCGTGGACACTGTAAATGTATTTGCAGATGGGTGACTAATACAATCTCTAAGTGTACAGAGCTCTGGAGGAGCAGGGCTTGGCAGGCACTTGGCATTCTCTGCTGGATCATCTCCCCCTCTCTGACAACTGGTCTCTCTTAAGACTCCCAAACCTTGCCCTTATTTTGGGGCTTGGCTCTCCCTAGCTCCAGGTCTACAAGAGAGAGACAACTTTCAGTTGCACAACATTAATTAAAAGGATTTCTGTCCAAGAAAAGCTCTCTCCCTGTAGCAAGCCTATATTTATGGGTATTAACAGAAAATTAAACTTAGAGTTGCTCCTGCCAGCTGCAAATGCTCAAAGGCCACAAGTTGAGCACACAAAAAAATTCAGGATTTTGTGGTCTTGTATTATGGGTTCTTTTCCTTTTTAACTTCAGAGCCTATGTCTGTTTATTTCTCTTCAAAGCAGAATTGGTAACTTTTAAGTTTTAAACCAAAACAAGCCTTCCCATGAGAAACCTGTTAAGAGTCTGGAGTCAACAACACTACCGTTACCTCTCCTGTAGGGTTAAACAAGTCTTGTTTAGACAAACTGTGTTTCCATAACGATGCAACTGGTAAAGAAACTGAAAACAAGTGCAAAGGCACTTTTCAGCAGTGTGCTGAAGACTGTTTTACAGAGAGTAATTTAGAAAGCCCCACCAGTGTGTGAAAGCAGTTTGCTATTGAACACTGTCACAGACACAACTTGTTCCAGTTTCCTTTGTACACAGCAGCACTTTGTGTTTACTCATGTAAAGGTGACGAGGTTTTTAGCTGAAAAAAAATCTGTCACAACATCCCAACATCAGCTACTCCTTGTAATTTTATTTTTGTTTTTCCCAAAGAAGTAGGGATTTGCTCTGTTTTCAATGAACCAGATCAGCAGTAATTAATAGTTAAGTAATGCAATATGGGGGTAAAATGCCTTAAAATATAGGGTTCACATGCCTTTATTCACATCACTGAGTGACTCATGGCTGATTGAGAATAACGATTTCAAATGCTCACATCTGTGTTCTCCCTTCCTGCACTCAATTATTGTTTTTAAAAGACTTTGACTGTGGTGAAAAACATGATCTCAAACTCATCTAAAGATAGAAAATGCAAATAACACACAAACTGAGCACGGAAGGACAGCTCTGGAAACTGATACCAGGAACAGAGCCCACTCAAGCGAGCCAAGAGCACCTGGACAGGCTACAGGCTCTGCCGGGGAAGCCGGAGAAACTTCTCCTGGAGCCAGTCTGCTCCAACAAAGGAAACATGGAATAGGTGATGTCTCAAGATCTTTTCTAGCCTAACAATCTGTCAGGGCTAGATAAATGTGGTGGGTTCAGTGTTGAAAACATCATCACTAAAGGTTATTCGAGCATAAAAACTGAGTGGAAAAAAAAAAGTCTCAAACGGTGACATCTACTTTCCACTCATCTCTCAACATCACTTAGAATGTATTTTGACAGATCTCAAGAAAAGCAAAGAAAGAGCAGATGTGAGACACCTCAAAGCAGTGCAAGGTTGAGATGTTGTGAGCTTTGGAAACTGAGGCTAAAACCGGCAGTGCCTTGTGAGGTGCAGCCACCGCCCAGCCCCTGGCGGGTCCCGGGCACACACCTGGGACAGAAATAACTTACTCTGCTGTTTCTCCTTCCAGCAGCTGGTCTGAATATAGTCTATGTAATCCTTTTCAACTGTCTTCTCCAGCTCTTGGAGTTCTGCTCCTTGATAATTCTTCTCAAAGTTTCTATCGACATAGTAAGGCACCTGCAAGTTCTCTGTTTCTCTGATAATGACGTGGCCGATGGACCTGCGGACACAGAGAAACCAGATGTCTGAGCAGATCAACCCTCAAGAAATCAAGAGCTGTTTCCCCACACTGACATTTCCAGAGGACAGTATTTAGAGCCATGTTTTTACAGTTCATTTCTGCAGGATTATGGCTCCCTCAACCATCCAGTAAGGAAATTACAAGTCTCGGGCACAGCAAGCTGTGCATTACAAACAGAATCCACCCCTGTGCTAAAACCACAGGAAAATATCTAATGTTTGGAAATACCTACAAAGAACTGACACTGTTCCTTCTGAATATTGTGTTTGTTCCCAACAGCTTGCTCCAGACACTTCCAAAATGTCAGAGCAAATTTTAACTGTGAACTCTCCACACACTTCCTTCTGTTTGCTGGGGATTCCTGGTAAACTCAGTCCAGAAATCCATGGGGATTGATAACAAAGGTAGAGATTATAAAGACTTGGGGCACAATGCAATTGGCTCTGGATTTTCCTATTTTCTGGATCCTTTAGTAGAACTAAAAATTAGCAGGGGAGATTCTAATTACACTTTTCTTCAGGGTTTTATAATTATCAGTAGGCAAAGTGGGGAAGAATTAGCCCCTCTGACACAGCCACTGGATCAAACTCCACTCAGACTGAATTTCCTTATTTGAGCACAGATACCCAGGCATTTGCTCAAATCACTGCCCACAGAGGCAGGCAGCCAAAACACAAGGTTACACTCTACTCAATGGAATCCTGCTTGCCCCTTCTTCCTGCACTCCTCTTTTCCTTCTCTCTCACTGTCTCAGAGGTGTCCACTCTCTTTAAAGAAACAATTTCTTCTAGTTTGTAAGCTGTTTTTTTAAGGCTATGATTTAGAGAAATGACCTGTGTGCCAGGCTCAGGCCTGCCTATCTCACATCAGCAGGAGAAGGGGAGGCAGTGAAGAAAAGCAGATCAGTTGCTGTGGGGGAAGCGTGGGAAGTTCATGGGACTGGCAGATAGCAAAAACACTCCCTGGAAAAAAAAAAACACCCAAAAAACAACCACCCTCCTGTTCTTCTGTGAGGGCCTCACACTGACATCTTGCGGCAGAACGATGAGGGGTGCTGGGCTGCTCTGACAGCTGAGGGAGGGGACAGACCTAGACCTCAGGAGTTTTACTCCTAGAAGGGAGCAAGGGGTGTGTTTGGAGCTCTCTGCTGGTTCCCCAAAACCTGCTAATCCTACTTCTGGCTCGGTAAGAGCCAGTGCAGGTGAGCTCTTTTTCACAAGAGAGATTCCTTCCTCCCAGCACTGTATTTCCTCTGCCTCACAAACTCAGTGACAGCAGCTCTGGTGGTGTGGTCCTTCTGCTTCCAGAGCTGATCAGCTCCCCAGGGTCCTGCTCCTCTACAGAAATTAAACCAGGGCATTTCAAGGCTTTAATGATTTGTGGACTTTCCAGTGGAATTCATGCTCCAGAGCAGATTTGGATTCATACTGCAAACCACAGGCTTCACTATTTAACTGCTTTCCAGAGGAACCTCAGTGGTGGTCCACAGATTGTGGGGGCCGGGCAGACCAAAGGCTGATCTACACCCACATTTATCCTCCTGTATCACAGTGCAAAACCACTTCACACCAGCTGAGGAAGGTTTCTGGCCTGGTGCCTCTCTTTGTTCAGCAACAAAGCTCACCACAGGTAACTCCACAGCTCAGGGGAACTCGTCAGGGCAGACTTTGGTATTTCCCTATTTACAAATGGATAACACTTGCTAGAAAGAGCCGTACATTAACGTGAATTTTGCTACCAAATCCAACTTCCTTCTGCCTCCATATTGCAAACAGCAAGAGCAGAAAAATGTGTTTCTAAAGCACTTACGACTTGTAGAATAAGCTGTAGGGAGGGTTGGTGGCCATCAGCTGGGTTATCACTGACACTACTATGATGATGAAAACTGGCATCAACTGGATAAATGCAGAATAAGAATTCTGAAAAGAACAACAAGAATTAGTAGTCAAGGAAAGATAGAGATGGAAAAAGAGACATCTGTTCACAGAAACCAGGCAATCTACCACAGATCAACAATATAAACTGAAAAAAAGAGGAAGTATTTTGGGATTTTGAGAAGGATGACACTGTAGTTTCAAAATACCCTTTATTAATAATCTCAGAAATCTCTTGAAAACCATTTTCTTTCAATTATCTTTTCTCCACCCCTTCCTCCACAAGGCCATAGACACCCACAGCACTGTCAGAGCCCAGCTGACGATCCAACCTGCAGGAACACACTGCAATTCCCATGTTCTGTAGCTTTCCAGGCACTCTGAACTTTGCTACACCCATTCCAAAGGTCTCAACCTCTGCTCAAGCATTGGATTTAATGGCTGAGCAGTAAAGGGTTAAGAGACCACATGTGCTGTAACTTGGGACAGGATGCAGACACAACAAGAGTGAAAAAGTACCAAAGGGAAAACACAGATCCTTCTTCCTGCTTTCTGATTTCCTTCTAAACTGGCCTCTAAAATGCTAGGAGGAAAATACACCAAGCAGCTATTCAGGCTTTGCCCTCTGCCCTCAGACAGCAACGAGGATTCCTGATGCAGGTGGAATTCATTTGCTCTGTGTCTGCTGTCAGCTGTATGCGTTTCTTTTCTTCCAGAGGCTGACTAAGAGACTCACAAGGGAAAACTCATCTTCCTTAGAGAATGATCCCGAGGTTAACAGACAGGCTCCAGAGGGAGATTCTGCCAGGGCAGGTGGCACATGTGTATGTGCACTGGCAACAAAAGACACCCTGTCTCATCTGGAGGTCTCAGCTGGTAGAAATGTATCCCACAGCCATCCTGCCCGGGCTGGAAGAGGCCTGTGCAGCACCTGGATGCTCATTTACTGAAGGCTTAAATACACCTTGAGGACAAGCAGCAAAAGCCAGTGCTTCCATACCCATTACCAGGCCCCATCTGGACTAATTGCCGTTGGATTACCAAACACTAGAGCTTGAAAAAAGCAGCAGCAGCAGCAAAGCCCTGGATGGTAGAAACTGGAAGCCCTACAATCCATAAATACAAAGTATTTTTGAAATAGTGATTAATAAAAGCCAATCTAGTCACATAAAAAACATCCCCTGTGGGTGCAGCGCTTGAGAATAAACACTGAGCACTCATGCATGGGAAGGTTTGTCCTGGCTTCAGGTCTCCCTCAGCCTGGTGAGATACCTAAGCCCAGGAGATGCCTCCTCCTGGCTACCTGTGGCCTGTTGTCTTCCTCCTCCTGCTCCTGCGTCCATGCCCTCTCGGTGCGGTGCCTCCGTGGGTAATAGTGTGCATCTCTGGCTACATTTGAGAACATATGGATATTTCCTGGAAAAGAAAAGTCATAGGTCATGGCACTCACCTGCACTCCTCAGTTCCTGTTTAATTATCCAGGTGGATACCACACAGCCTGATTACATTTGGGAGACCTCACGCTAGAAAGCACAGCCAACCTCTGATTTAAATGACAAAACAACGTGTCCTTCCAAAAAGCCTACCAGAGAAATTGTAAAGTGTGCCCCAAGTCCACCTTAATTTAAATCAAACTGCAGAGACACATTCCAATTTTTATGACTGTATCTCATATTTTAATACTGGCTTTGTCACATTCACTTGCAGGGTTGTGGCAGGAAAATGAATTTGCTTCTCCAGGCTCAGGCCATGAATTACAGCCTCCCATAATTATTGAATGGGGTCTTCTACTCATTTCTATTTCCTCTACCTTCAAGCCATTAATGGTTTCACTTAATTATTTTATCATAAGGAAAGAGATTTTAAAAAAATAGCTTTTCGAGTAAAAAAAGGAGAACAATTCAGGATTTCCTTTCTTGCACATGGAATGCAGTTGATTTATTTTTAAAAATTCTAAAATGAGGAAAGAATTGCATGTGCTGCTTCAATTTGAAGATCCAACTCTGATTTTATCACCATATGAATATCTTAATAATAGCTTTGCTCTCCTCCTTTGAAATTCAGCATGTCTTTGTGTTAGAGAATTGGAAATCTGTGGCTTATCATTACAACAGAAATGCAAATCTATTTTTAAGCCTTGGGAAAGATGTCACATGATTTTACACTCTTCCACTGTCCTTTTTTGAGTTTCCTAAAGAAGTCTGCAAGAAACCTGGGTGAAGGTGACCTTTGCTGTTGTGTTAAACCTCTGTCCCACTGCCTGTTCAAGGATTTTTCCACGGCATGTGTGCCCTCAGAGCTCCAACAGTGATCCAAGCCAGGCTGTCTCCAAGGAGGAAAGTTTCTTTTTGGAAAAAAGACAGTATTTTACCAAGCTATGAAAAAAGAAGCAAGTATTGGAATAGAAGAATGGCTTTTACAGGGTGCCTAGAAAAGAGTTATCCCTCGAGTTTTATCAGTTAACATTTTAACTTTAAATACTTTCCCCCTGAATATCCACAGAGGAAAACTGCACAGTAAAATCAAAGCCATAAACCTGCCCACCAATGCCATACGAATGAGTTGACAGCAACACCTCTAATTTGGATTTCCAGAGAGCCTGGTAACAGCAAGGTGTCAAAAGACAAACACGAGCATGAACTTCAGCTCAGGCAAGTCCTACTTAGTGCTACAACAGCTTAAGAAATGTTCTCTTTATATCAATTACCTCTTACTAGCAATTCTCTTGCTAAATAGAAACTGTGAGGGCTTTCTCTATTTGTAAAATTGCTAAACTAGTAATTTTCCATAACTTAAAACTTACTTTTACATTAGGAAGATGTACATAAATTTAGATCACACACTTTTTTGGTGAGGAAACTATTGTTTACTACCAACATCAAATACTATGAAATATGTTTCTTTCCTTGTTCTTTGCCATTTGGCTCAAAATTCCCACTTTCTCCTTCGTGCCACTCTCCCTGACAAACCTGCCCTGCCCAGTGCCCAAATTCCTCCTGCAGCTCCTCAGTTTCCTGTCCTCAGTTCCAAGTATCCCTGTCCCCCACGCTATCAAGCAGTCCCATTCCATGAGGGCAACGTTCCACAAAAGGCACACACAGGTGCAACTCCTTGCACAGCCAGGAATGGAAAACTTGCAGACTCTGGATGGAATTACACCACGCTGGGGTTGGCTCACTTTGCACATTTACTGATGCAAATTTGGGAACAATCTGAGGTCCCTTTGGCTGCAAGATGCACCACTCACACCAAGGTTATGGGGAGCTGGTAAGTAACTACCTGTATCTGTAGCTTCAGGCTGTGGTAAGTGGTGTGTATGTCACCTTGTGTGACACCTGGGAGGGGAAAAGTTTATGGGAATGCTAAAGCAATTCCTTAAACGCTGCCAGGAACACCCCTGAGCTCACCACACCTTAGGTTTACTTTTAATCCACAGATCTCGTGGCCAAGGCTGGACTGAGTCGTGCCTGGAGCTACTACAGGTGCAGCTCCACTGCTGTGTTACTGGATCCTGCATATCCATGGACAGTCTAACCTGGCAGGGAGCACTTGCTGAGCTCCCAGGCTTGAATTTCATTCCAGCACACAAGGATGTGCCTGAGAGGCACAGGAGCTTCCCTGCTTATAAGGGCACTGAGATCACAACTGCAGCAGCTGTGCCACGCTGGCCTGGAAGTGCCTCAAGTACAACCCAATCATGGAATGGTTAAGGCTGGAAAAGACCTCTGAGGTGACTGAATCCAGCCATCACCTCAGACACCTCTGATCCCTTCCCACTCACACCTTATTTCATCTCCCATGCTACTGCTGGCTTCAGATGACGGAGGGAATAAAAGAAAAGCAGAAAACAATACCATAAAGGTTTCTGCTCTTTTCGGATGTATAATCAACTCTATGAGCACTCCCGAGGGAAGCTGAACTTCCTGTATGGTTTACGGAATCCCAGAATATGCTGAGCTGGGAGGGAACCACAAGGATCATCCAGTCCAACCCCTGGCCCTGCACAGGCCCAGCCCCAAGAGTCACCCCCTGTGCCCCAGAGGATCAGCCAAAGCCTCCTGGAGCTCTGGCAGCCTTGGGGCTGTGCCCACTGCCCTGGGGAGCCTGTTCAGTGCCAACCACCCTCTGGGGGAAGAACCTTTCCCTGAGATCCAACCTGAGCCTGCCCTGACACAGCTCCAGCCGTTCCCTTGGGTTTAGTGTCAGCACATTGCACTTCCAAACAACTGACCTGTAGGAAAGTGCCCACCAAAAAACACATTGAATATTTCTTCTGGTGTGATGTCTGCTTCAAACTCTGTGTAGTAATTGTAGTGCCTGGCCTGGCCGGTGCTGATGTGCTCTTGGTCGCTCCCCAGCTCATCGTATCGCAGTCTCTTTTCAGGGTTGCTCAGAACTGCAAAAGCATTGCCTATTGCTGCAGAGGGAATCGAAACAAGGGTTACATCTCCAGAGCTCGGACTTCTATAAGCAGTGTAGCAAAAAAAAAAAAACCCAAACAAGCATAAAGTCATGCTTGACCAAAGACTGAGTTACTTTCAAAGGAACTGCCTTTGTAAAAGAAGTGTTACAGCACTGGAATTACCTGTGATGGAAACTACTTCCTGCTGCTACTGATGCCAAGGGAAGTGCTAAAGTACATGGAGAGAGCTGAAATATTCATAAAACTGAGCTCAGTCTCCACTTCAGCCAAGAAACTGGGGGAGAATGCAACATTTTCTCAGCTCAAACCAAGCCCTGCTATAGAAGTGCACCTCCATATACCACACACCGGCAACACAGAGTTAATAACTGGAGAGACTCATTAAAATGCACTGCGATATCCTAAGTTTTTCCTGCTGGCAGAGGTGCTCCTGAAGCTGCACATCTACTTCACACTTCACATCCAACCACCCAGAAGTATTTGTTTGGTTCATCTTCCTCTTTGATCTCTGACAGAACAAGTTCATTGTGAACTACAACCCAAACACAAATAAACAAAGAAAAGCCCTTCAGAAGCTCCTTAACAGGTTATGAATGAATCGCTTGTTTTCCTCGTGCTGTGCTGCAACACAGCACGGAAAGGGCAAAGGATGTAAGAGTTTAGATGGCAACAGTGGCAGCACAGGACTGCAGTTTTTCTGAAAAGTCCAGACACAGCATATGGGATTAAATTTTATATGTCTGCACAGATATAAATTTATGGAGAAGGAGCAGTTTTTGATTACACAACACCCCATTCTCCTGCATGGCCAGTGTCAGCTCCAAGCCTTGTTTTGAACCTGTCACAGAATCACAGAATGGTTTGGGTTGGAAGGGACCTGAAAGATCACCTTGTTCCACCCACTGCAGGGACACCTTCCACGAGCCCAGGTGGCTCCAAGCCCCGTCCAACCTGGCCTTGGACACTTGCAGGGATCCAGGGGCAGCCACAGCTTCTCTGGGCAACCTGTGCCAGGGCCTGCCCACCCTCACAGGGAACAATTTCTTCCCAATATCCCATCAAACCCAGCTCTCTGTCAGTGTGAACCCATTCCCCCTTGGCCTGTCACCTCGTGCCACTGAAAAATCCCTCAGAAGTTCTCGGAATGAGAGCTGGAGTACATATCCCTTGGTTTCCGATGGAAATGCTGTATTTTGCAGCGAAAAATGCAAACCCTGTTGAACCGCAGGGGGTTCTATGGGGCCGCCGGTGTGTCCGTGCCACCCGCGGCCTCTGCGGGTGCGGCCGCTCGGCCCTCACGGAGCCCCCGGGCCCCTCACGGAGCCCCCCGGGCCCCTCACGGAGCCCCCGGGCCCCTCATGGAGCCCCCCGGGCCCCTCACGGAGCCCCCCGGGCCCTCACGGAGCCCGCTCACCTTTGAAGGCCTCGGTGGCCCCGGGCGCTCGGTTCTTGTCGGGGTGGAACTTGAGGGCGAGCCTGCGGTACGCGCGCTTCAGCTCCTCCTCGCCGGCGTCCCGGCCCACGCCCAGGATCTCGTAGTAGTCCCGGCACCGCTTGATCCTGGCGACCCACACACGGTTATCCCGGGGCCTGCTCCCCTCACCGCCCCCGGGCCCGCTCCCCGCCCCCGGCCCTGCTCCCCTCACCGCCCCCCGGCCCCGCTCACCGCCGCACCCCGTCCAGCTGCTCGGCCGTGTAGGTCATCCTGCCCGCCCCCCTCACCGCCCGCCGCCCCGCGCCGCCATCTTGTGCGCGGGGGCTGCCGGGAGCGGCCCCCCTGGGAATGGCGGTGTGACGTCATGGCGGAGCGGTGACGTCACGAGCGGCTCTGAGGGGCGCGGGGGTGACGTCACGAGCGGCTCTGAGGGGCGCGGGGGTGACGTAACGAGCGGCTCTGAGGGGCGCGGGGGTGACGTCAGAGCGGCTCTGAGGGGCGCGGGGGTGACGTCAGAGCTCCCCGGGCCGGGGGACCCGTGTGGGACAGGGCACGGAGTGTGCCGGGCGGGGACAGTGCTGCGAGCGCTGGGGGTGTCATGGGATCATAGAACCATGGGATCATGGAATCAGCCGGGTTGGAAAGGACCTCTGGGATCATCCAGTCCAACCCTTGATCCAACCCCACCGTGGTTCCCAGCCCATGGCACTGATGCCACATCCAGACCCATCTTAAACACCTCTAGGGACGGGGACTCCACCCCATCCCTGGGCAGCCCATTCCAATGGCTGAGCACTCTCTGGAAAAAATTTCTTCCCAATATCCAACCCAAATCTCCCCTGGCACAGCTTGAGACCGAGCCCTCTTGTCCTACTGCTGGTTCCTGGGAGAAGAGACCAACCCCCACCTGGCTACAGCCTCCTGTCAGGGAGTTGCAGAGAGTGCTGAGGTCTCCTCTGAGCCTCCTCCTCTCCAGGCTCAACAACCCCAGCTCCCTCAGCCTCTCCTCACAGCACTTGTGTTGAAGTCCCACGGGATCACAGAATGTCCTGAGTTTAAAGGACCCACAAGGATCATCCAGTCCAACCCCTGGCCCTGCACAGGCCCAGCCCCAAGAGTCACCCCCTGTGCCCCAGAGGATCAGCCAAAGCCTCCTGGAGCTCTGGCAGCCTTGGGGCTGTGCCCACTGCCCTGGGGAGCCTGTTCAGTGCCAACCACCCTCTGGGGGAAGAACCTTTTGCTGAGATCCACCCTGAGCCTGCCCTGACACAGCTCCAGCCATTCCCTGGGGGCTGTCCCTGGTCCCCCCAGAGCAGAGCCCAGTCCTACCCCTCCTCTGCCCCTGCCCAGGCAGTTGGAACTGCAGGGAGGTCTCCCCTCAGTCTCCTCCAGCTGAACACACCAAGTGCCCTCTGCTGCTCTTGTGTGGTCTCTCCAGACCCTTCCCCATCCTCGTGGCCTCCTTTGGACACTCCAACAGCTTTAGATGCCAGCAGAGAAGGCCCTGGAGGTGCTGGTGCCAGGGCTGGACATGAGCCCAGGTGAGCCCAGGGGGACAAGAGGCCGATGGCCCCTGGGCTGTGCCAGCCACGGTGTGACAGCAGGACCAGGGCAGGGACTGTCCCTGTGCTGGCCCTGCTGAGGCCCCTCCAGGGCTGTGTCAATTCTGGGCCCCTCACAGCAAAGAAGACATTTCCTAGCTGTCTCCATCGCTGCTAATGCTGCTGCTGGTTCCCCCTCATCCCACCTGCAGGGATTCCTTCCACTAGCTCAGGTTGCTCCAAGCCCCATCCAACCTGGCCTTGGACACTTCCAGGGATCCAGGGGCAGCCACAGCTTCTCTGGGCAATCTGTGCCAGGGCCTCACCCTCTGTGTAAGATTCTCAAGGGTCTGTGGGAAGAAGGAGGTCAAAGGAAGGAAAACTTAAGCAGTGGTGAGATCCCATGGGATCTCAGGGGTCTGTGGAGATGTGTTAAAGCTTGATACTCACCAAAAATCTCCCTGTGGTGCTCCCTGCGTGGAGTCACAGGTCTCTGGGATCCGGAGCTCTGGGTTCACCTTACTGGGAATCACCTGGGACTTTGTGCTTAAGCAAATTCACCAGTCTGGTGGAGGCGGCATTTCACTTTTGATGAATGTTACCAGAAAAGCTGTATTTATTAAACAACTTATCAAGCTCCCTGGTGCAGATGTTAAAGGTAGAAAATGTGTTGGCTCTTAGCAGGAGTTGTGAAAACATTGCATGTATTTTGCTGAACACTTCCTTTCCAGCTGCAAAGCACAGCTACCTCTCACACTGCACAGGCCAGCAAACATCTCTTATCCATCCTGTTAGATTAAATCAGGCTCAGTTACGATGTTTCACTGAACTGTGCAGGGAATGTGTGCAGCTGTGTGCAGCAATACCTGTTTGGAGTGCTTGGCTAGGTCCTTTTCTTCCTAATGTCACAGTTCACCTTCAGGGCTGATGGATGATGCTCCTGTTAGAAGAGGCAGTGTCTCACTGTGCTGTTGCTGCACAGACAAGATTCTCCCAAGGTCTGCATTGGTGGAACTGGTGCAGCTTCCAGGCAGGAGTCAGGGTGAAGATGGGCAGAGGCAGTGCAGGGTTAGTGCCTCAGTACCTTACTGTGCTGAATGAGGCAGCTGAGACCTCCGGAAATACCCAAGGGGCATCATTTCTCTCCTGTGGATGCTGGGGATGCTCATCCCCACCCTCCTCATGTGAGTGTTGTGCTGAAGGTGCTCAGTGAGTGTGGCTGGGGTGAACCAGCTCAGGCTGCCCTGGGGAACCCAACGAAGGGCTGTCCTTGGGATGCCTTTGTGTGGTAAGATACACGAGATACCCCAAAAATGCCAAGGCAGTGGAAAGAATCCAAAAGGTTTATTCTGAAGCTGAGAATGCTAAAAACTCCCAAAGAGAACCTGTGCCAGCTGCGAAAGTGCTAGGCCTGAGAAAGCCTCCTGTTCCCTGCCAGGCCTCTTATCTTCTCTGTCCTCCCCCAGGGCCTCCCCAAAGCAAAGGGCTATAACACTGTGAGGGTTTATTTCTCCTCAGACCAGAGAGAGAGACTGCAGCTTTCTCTGGAATGCAGAAGGGAAAGAAACGTCCAAATATGTTTGAAAAAAGGGGTTTCTTCTCAGGCAGAAAGTCTCCTTAAGTGAAACATCTAATTAAGCTCTAATGTCCTCAAAGTGAAGTCTTCCAGGAAAAGGGTATTTACCCCAACAGCCTTGGGGGTGCACTGGTGGTTCCTGGGGCTGTGGTGAGTGGGGACTCTGGCTGGCTGGGGATGCTGCTTTTCTGGTCTGTCAGGAAGCTCTGGGAAAGCAGTGGTAGAGATGATGGAAGCTCTCCCAAGCACACTTGCACTGCCAGACTCCAGGAGCTAAAGCAGCTCAGCATTTTGCTTGTGGCCACTGGCTTTGTACACTCAGCTAAACCCCTGTCTACGCACAGTCTTCAAGTGTTTAAGCACGTGGGAAGATAGTGATCTGCCTGCCTGAAGCTCAGGTATTAATAATAAAGTCCTTAAGACAGCAAATTGTATTTCAGCAGCACCTTTAGTTCCAGGCTCTCTGAACGCTGTACAGACATGGATTAACGCAGCCTCACAACAACCCTGTGAGGTAGGTGAGTGTGATCATCCCCACCACTGCGGGGACAAGGAGGGCACCAGGGATAAGGGGCTTGGAGTATCATCCTGGGGTTTGACCTAGAACTTGGTCATTTAAGTCTCCTCAGGTCTTCAGAACAGGCTTTCCTAAACACACAGGTTTGACCTGACGTGGGGCTACGCTGCTTAACGAGCTCCTGACAGCCTGTCATGGACTGTAAACGCCATCAGCGAAGTAGGTGGTGCCTCGGTGCTTCTTGATGCTGAATTTATTCAGAGTGTTTGAAGGCATCTCAAAAATAGAGCTAGATATCAACCACTGAGCGTGGCAGGCTGTAACTGGAGAAAGCCCTTAGGCCCCAGCTGGGGAAGCTATGTAGGACACTAAAGGAAATGTATTGATCAGAAAGGACATAATAATTTATATATAAAGTCCACCCTCGCTCTTTCCACAATGGAAAAAAAAAGAAAAAGAACCTAGAAAGTCACTGCTGGTTGTCATGTGTCAGCTTCATTCTCTGGGCTCTTCATAGAACCTGGCAAAAGAACAAGACATGGTGCATCAGCAGCCTGTTTGGGCTGCCAGAGGGAGTTCAAAGCAATGTGTTCTCCCAAACTCAATCCCATCTTTAAAACAACTGAAAATGATGTGAAATCCTCTGAGGGATGGATGTGAGGGCACTGAAGGGAATGTGCCTCAACCACCTGTGGAGCTGGAGTGGGGGAGCTTGGGCTGGAGGGTGAGACCTTGATTTCTCAAAGGCTGTTGAGAAATCATTTGTCATTTAATGACAAACCCCTCCAGCTTTGTTGGCTGACCCTAGGCCATGTCACCTGTATACATGAGGTATATTTGACATCTCGAGTTCAGGCAGCTCAGGTAAACCTGAGATGGGCACCCAAACGTTTCACTGGGCTCACTGGAACCAGTTTGGACCTTTAGGAGTTTGATGGCAGCTGTTTTTTGTTATATTTCTGAAGGAATAAGAGAGCAAAGAAATACCTCAAAGGCATGCTCTTATCCAGCCACAGAAATGATCCCCAGTTAATGCCCTAAAAAGCAAGGCTGAAAAGGGACACCTTTTCTGATGGGGGGTAAGTCATGCTGTTGTTCATGTTGATGTTCTTCATGGAGATCAGAGTGATGCTGTTGTCCTTCTGGCTCGTGTCTGCTGAGCAGCTGTCAGGGAGAGAAGGTGGTATTAACTGCTCTGGGAAATGAGAGAGGGAGTCACGGAATCACAGAGTCATTTAGGTTGGGAAAACCCTCCAAGATCATCGAGTCCTGATCCCCACCTTGTCAGCCAGCCCAGAGCACTGAAGTGCCACGGGTAGGCCTTTCTTGGACACCTCCAAGGACAAAGTTTCTTTGCACACAGCTGGAGGCAAACAGGCAAGGCTGAGTCTGGTACACAGCTCCAGGGTTCGTTTCCACTGCCTGTCGAGCTGCTGTCCTGATTCAGACCCATCCTTGGTGCCAAATTCCCAGATCTCTGGGCAAACAAGCTGGGTGTGCCCTACAGAAAGCCCCACTGTCTCCTGTGTCACTACTTGTAGGCAGAGTCAGGGAGCAGTTTGGTTCTGGTCCCCAGTGAATGGATTTCCTGCCAGCCCTGAAGCCCTCACCAGGACTAGAACAAGGAGAGCATTGCTGGGAGCCCTGTCCTAGGCCCTCAAGGTTATTTGTCATGCAGAGGGAGCCCTGGATATTGTTCCACCTGATCCTGCTGCTCATGTATTGTCAGTGTCTCTCTTAAGAGTGAGTTACAAGCCTTAGGAATGTGGAATTCCCCTTTCTTCCTAATCTGAGGGATGGGATACACATTTAGCCCCACTGGAGACTGGATGACTTTGGGGATTAGGGTGCCCCAGGGCTCTGTCCTTTGCTCTGGCATGTTCTGCCTCAGTGGCTCCAGATCACTTGGATCATGATCATTAAGGATATTTGGGAACCACTGGTGTTGATGCAAATTTGGCAGCTCAACACTTAGGGACTTTGCTTTGTGTCCCTTGCCCCTTTCCAAAGCAGAGTTTATTACTTTGGTGGGAAACTATCAGATGGAAAAGTAGGAGCAACATGCTGTGGTCCCTTCCAGCTCTTATTTCCTGCTGTTTTCCCACCTTCAGCCTCTCTTCTGGCGTAGCTGGGATGGACCATGGGGTTCTGACAGACCATTCTCCTCCTGATGCTTCTTTTTCAAAGGTCTTTGAACCGGGGCCCCCTTATCTGGGTTAACAGTAATAATAAGCATCTTGGAAGATACCTGAGACTGCTTTGAGATTCAGAAACTCAAGTTTAGACATCAAGTCTAAACTTGCTCGTCTAGGCAAAGAAAGACGAGCAAACTACTTTGGGAAGGTGAGGAGTCTTTGCAGATCTCAGGGCAGCTTTGAAAAGAGGCCCTGAAATATTGGCCATCTACCTTTGTCTCTATCAGCTATCAAAGATGTCTCAAAGATGTTTTGAGATGCTTTCTTCCACCTGCTGTAACCAAAGCAGATTCTTCTCCTTGCTAAAATTAGCTCTGGAATAAAACAGGCACTTTGAATTGGACACAGACAGCATTAGCAGCCTTACCTCTCTGACACCATGGAGCTTCCTGGTTTCTGTTTGTCTGCAGGGAGAAAAGCTGGAGTTGGTGATGTACAGCTGAGAAAACATCACAGCTAAGCCATGGAATAAGTCAGCTCTATTGTGGATTACGTTCTACAGGGATATAAATGAAATCTGGATGAGGTAAGAGACACCATGGGGGAAACTGGAGAGTTGATGAGGGAAAATCTTTCAATTAATGGGACATGCAGGCAGGACCTGATGGCCTGTTCAGTCACCAGCAAGGTATCTGTCTTACTGTAGAGCAGCCTTGCCCTCTGGTGGGCACTGCTTAGTGGAAAGTGGGATTCCTAGGGGAAAGGAGTGTCAAACTCCATGACTTCTGCTGGAAGAGCTGCCACACTGAGCTGCAGCAAACTTGAGACTTGTCCTTGTGCAGATGGGGCTGGGCTGGGGCTCTAGAGAGAGGTCACATCACATTCCTGACTGCTGAATCTGTGTTCCAGTTTGGCTTCAAAACCTTTTCAAATGCATCTTTTAGGAACTGCCAAATCCAGCATGGAAACTGGTGACCTGTGGATTAGGGAAGGACATCCCCTTGGGCAGGTACCTTCCTCCTTGGAGCGGTTACACTTGAACCTCAGGCTGACCACGCCGACCAGGACGATCACCACCACTACCAGGATAACGATGAAGCTGATGACACCTGGGGATGGAGCAAAGAACTGTCTGAGACTGACAGAACAACATCCTGGATCCTGGGGCAGCAGAGCAACTTTGACTGACATCAAAACTTGGGTAGGAAATCAGTATTTTCATTAATGTGAGCAGGGCAGAGGAGTGAATAGTCACTAGAGTGACTGACTATCCTCTTGTGTTTTAACTTCAAAGGGCTGCTGCTGAATACTTAATTGATGAATATCTGATTGATAAGGCAGTGCCAGAAGGGCAGAAGTCAGCTGATTACAGTGGGGATTGATAGGAGTCAGTATGTTCCTAATAAAGTTGGGAAATCTCATCCTAAAGGTGTGTAAAGTGAGATAAAAAGCAAAGTACAAGAGAGAGACAAGCTAAAGGCTGTGGGTGATGTCATCTGTCTCATAAAGCTCTGGCCAGGTGCTGTATTCTGGCACCAGGCCTCAATAAATCAAACTTTGCATGGGAATCTTGTTCTGCTAAGACTGGTCCAGGACTTAGAATCATGGAATGGTTTAGGTTGGAAGGGACCTTGGAGCTCAGCCAGTCCCACCCCTTGCCATGGGCAGGGTCACCTTCCACTAGCCCAGGTGGCTACAAGCTCTGTCCAACCTGGCCTTGGACACTTCCAGGACTGGAGCAGCCACAGCTTCTCTGGCAGGCTGTGCTAGGACCTCATGAAGCTGAGTGTCCCAACCAATGTGTTCTGGCAAAACAGACCCCCTGCCCTCCCCAGGCTGTCCAAGAACTTACCGAAAGCTGCCACTGTCAGTGGTGATTCATCATCTGTTGGGGTGGGCTCAGAGGAGTTCAGTGTGAGCGTGACAGGCTCTGAGGTGCCTACAGAGGAGAAAAAGGCAGCTTTATGTAAAAATCTTTCTTCCAAGGTTGGGAAGAGGATTCCTAGCAATCCTAGAGGATTAATTCACACCTGTACTTTACTGAACAGACTGAGGTTGGATCCTGGCCAGGCCCATCAGTGTTAACAGCAAAGTGACCAAGACGGGTTTGAAACCATTGCCTTGGTGAGGCACCTGAGAACACCCACAGGGTCCTGCTGGGACCCCAGGGAGGAAGCTGAGCAGGGCAGGTGAAGATCTGCCCTTGCAGAGTGACTGAGGGTGGAGTTCTGTTCCCAGGCTGCTCCAAAATGCTGCTTCTGCAGTTTTCCAGGCATTTCAAGGGCTAGATGGGATGGCCAGCACCCCTCAGGCACTGTTCTCCTGCTGCCTTGAAGGCGGAGGTGTGATGGCCTTGCTGTTGGCTGAGTAAAGGGCTGTAAAATCCACAGCAGGGCTCACCTCTCTGGGAGGAGGAAACACCTTGAGTCACTGGTGTCGTGGTTCTCTCCCTTCTCGTGGGCTCTTGATCTGTGGAGAGAAACACTGTGAGTCTTGTCCTTGAGTGTTATCTGATAACCAAAGGAATTAAAGGGCACCTGGAGAGGAGAATGGAGTCACAGCAACGCTGCTGATACCTGGGCAAACATGGAATTCATGCTAAAAGCTTCCCACCAAACATACTTTGTACTGTTTCCCATGTCCAAATAGAAACCTGGGGAACCAAAATTCAAATGCCCTTGTGTAAACTCTTCAGGTGCAGGTTTTGGGCAGAAACAGCAGTGGGAGGCTGGAAGAGTGAACTGGAAGACTGAAGATTTTCTATAGCTCATAAACATTGAGACTGAAAACACGTGCTTAGAGGAAGAAGTTTTGCAGAGTGTGGGTGGGGATTGACTGTTTGGCTTGTCCTTGGGCTCGAAATGGGTGGGTGTGCTGTCCTGGCTTATCTAGAAGCAGTTAAGCTCATTTGAGCTGGGCTAACTTGTATCCCATATGCAGTCTAGCTGTGGCAGCTCAGGGGTTTGAGCAAGGACTCCAGTTCTGAGGGGGAGAAACTGGCTTGTCTGAAGCTGTTTGGTTTGTGACAGCTGCTCCAGTGCCTGCACAAGGAAATTTAAAGCCAGTCCTTGTATTTCACTTGTACAGAGAAAAAACATCCTTTGCTGCCTCCAGGCTGAGTGCTGAATGGCCTGAATGTCTGCCCCGACCTCAATGAGCAGCTGCAGGCCCCATCAGGACACTAGAAATGATCCTTCAGAGTTTCAGAAGATCATCTGGAGGTCAAGTAGGATCTTCTTCCCTCCTTTCCCATCCTCACCTTCCCAGCAGCAGTGTGTGATGCCTTGGGGGGTGTGCACAGCTCCTGGCACTGCCCTGGGGTTCCTGTCCCACACAAAACTTCACTGTTTTGGAATCTGATTTTGCCAAAAGCCAGAAGAAAAAGGGGGAAAGGCGTGAAATAGCAAATCTAAGTGGGTCAGAAGCCACTTGGATCACAACAGTCTGGAGAAACAGGGACTCCTGCTGGACAATTTTTTCACAGGTCATCAAATTCTTTGCTTTATTCTGAAATTGTTCTTCTAGCCATGGGCAAAAGTTGTGGTTTGCTGAGCCTGGCACAGACACCCCATCCCTGGGGGATGTTGGGTCTCACACAACAGGAGCTCTGGCTTTTGGAAGCATCAGCAGCCATACAGCAAAGATGGATGTATGGAGCTTCCCAGCCATAAATCAGGGCTGTGATGAGGAGCAAGCTGCTCTGAGGCAAAGGGCTCCTGCCTTAGGAGGGCACAGCCAGCTGGGTGGGCATAGCTGACCATGGGTTTCTAATCTTGCTTGTGTTAGAGATCTGAGAGGCACTTGGAGAGGTGGAGCAGTTTCTGTCTTGACCACTGCAGATTTCTGAGGCTGAATCATCAATGGCAAATTAGCTCAGTTGTCAGATTCCAGTCTTCCCTGTCTCTGGGATTCTGCCCTTATTCTGACAAAACTTTTACTAAATTCTTTAATTTGTGCAAAATTGTATTTATTTAAAAGGCTGTTAAAAGGGCTCCCCTTTTCCTGCACATAGATCCACCGTTCAACTGCTCGAGTTCATCCCAGCAGACCATTTGATCCCATGTTTTATCACTGCTTGTAAGGATACCAGATGTGATTTTGGGTGCAAATGGTGGCTCAACCTCAAAAGACTGGTGCTCAGATAACCTGTGCCACGAGTGCCATGACATTATTAAGTTTTGTTACTCTATCAAAGGACAAAGTACCTCGAGGTGGGGGAGAAGTGGCTGCTGTGCTTCTGTTTCCACTGGAGTCATCATCTAGATAAAGAAAACATGGAAAAGGAGAATTAACTCTTGAAGCTGCTACTAATTCTGCTATGGGGAGCTCTTGGGTGTCCAGGGGGTAAAAACCTTGGCTTGCACGAGACTTTTCCTCCAAACAGACACCAAGATGCCCACTTAGCAAGGGGTGCAGCCAGTTCAGAGTGTCCCTGAGAGGTGAGCTGGGACAGGTCTGGGAGGCTGGAGCTCCTCTGGGAAGCTTTATTTGATAAAGCATCACCTAGCTTTTATGATACAGGCTTGTCCTGGCTGTGTCCAGCCATGTGCTTTCAGGGAGCTGGACCGAGCTGCTCTTTCAGCAGAGACTCCAAGAAATTCAATATTTGATGAATTACTGAATAATCAGCACGGTGTGGACCTAGCCCAGTGTTTCTGATGCCCCCAGTCTTTCTTGGACAGGGAGGGAGGCACAAACAGGTCCTGCCTGAGCCAAAGGTTGAGTTTTCCATCCTTACCTCGTGCAGTCGAGGCTGGCAGCGTGCTTGGAGTGCTGGTGGTGGTGGTGGTGGAGGGTTTGGCTGGAGCAGTTTGACCCACGGAGGTGACACTCGGGCCGGGGGATGGGTTTGGTTTTAGCGCCGGCTCTGCAGGGGAAGTGAAGTGTTACCTCAAAGAGGAGGAGGAGGAGGGCACAGCTATCACAGAGAGCCCTCAGGCTCCTGGAGAGTTAGGAATAATCTGCTAGGGAAAGCACAGGCGTGGAAACAGCTCCCATCCTGCTCAGAGTCAAGGAGCTCCTGTACTTTGGGATTAACTTCTGCTTTTTTTTTTTGAGGAGGTGCTGAGCTGGCAGAGCCCAGCAAACACACAGAGAAAGTCAGAGTTTTTTGCCACTGCTTTTTTCCCTGCTTTGAGAAATGAAGGTATTTTTGTCACTGGACACTTGAACTGCCTGGAGCTGCCTGGCACCCACGTGGCCATTTGCGTGTTATCTCAAATGCCAACTTTCATGTTTCATTTCACCCAGAGTTTCCAAGAACAAATAATTCAGCTTTTGAAGTGGTCTGGAGGCTCCAACACCGGCCCCAACCTGCTGCTCCAAGCTGCACAGTCAGAGCATGGGCCAGAGCAAGATGTGGGGGGAAAAGCTTTCAATAATCCCTCTGCAAGGATCACCAGCTGGGAATTTATAGGCAAGTTCCTTTGTCTGGACTTCTCTTGGCTTTTCAATAAAACAAGAAAAGGGTGAAAATGGTTTTAAGGTTAGTGTGTGTGGGGTTTTTTTCCTTTTATCCAAATGCTTTACCAAAATATTAGAATTTAGGATTAAGTTTCTTCTAAGTTTCTTTCTTTATAGGCTTGGAAGCATAACCAGATATTTTTAGATCTTTTTCTTTGGGTATTTTTGGGGTCCCTTTGGAGGAGTAACTATGCTTGGATTTTTTTTTCCCCCAAAAATTATCAGGAAGAGATCTGTCTCCAGAGATCCAAGTGGACTAACAGGTGTGGGTCTGGAGTTGCAGAGATAATTTCTTGTGTAACTGGTTTTGTGTACATGGCATAGAAACATAGAAAGGTGGATTGGAAGGGATCTTAAAGATCAGCCAGGTTGGATGGGCCTTGGAGCAACCTGGGCTAGTGGAAGATGTCCCTGCTCATGGGATGGGGTGGAACGAGATGAGCTTTAAGGTCCTTTCCAACCCAAACCATTCTATGATCTACTCTACAACCATCTCATTCTCCCTATTTAATTTAATTATTTTTTCCCTGTTCTTGCTCACACCTGTGCCTCGATCCCTCTGGGGTGAGTTGGCTGGATCAGAAGTCCTCACACCACAAAATTTTCTTTCTCCCCACCACTGTCCTCATCTAACCAGCCCCTGCACAGCCCCATTTCCTGCTGGATGGCCCAGCTGGACTGAGCTCAGACCAGTTACAAACTGGGATGCCCTGAGCTGCTCTGCTCACAGAATCCCAGAATGTGTTGAGCTGGAAGGGACCCACGAGGATCATCCAGTCCAACCCCTGGCCCTGCACAGGCCCAGCCCCAAGAGTCACCCCCTGTGCCCCAGAGGATCAGCCAAAGCCTCCTGGAGCTCTGGTAGCCTTGGGGCTGTGCCCACTGCCCTGGGCAGCCTGTTCAGTGCCAACCATCCTCTGGGGGAAGAACCTTTTGCTGAGATCCAACCTGAGCCTGCCCTGACACAGCTCCAGTCATTCCCTCCATCTCCAGCTGGGGGTTACCTGAGGTGTGGTTCTTCTCTTCAGGGCTGGGTGTTGTTGGCTGGGGTGGACCTGCAACACAAGCAGAGGGACGTGGAGGTGACGTGTCCTACACCTGCTCCATGCTGGTGATCCCACAGGGAGGGTGGGGCCAGAAAGAGCCGAAAGGGTGAGGGAGGTAAGAGATGCATGGAGAGGGTTTGTCCCTGGTGTGGCTGTAGGGGCCAGTGGGCAAAGGGACCGTGGCTGAGGATCCATGGATCCATGGAGGATAACGTGTGGGAAACAGCTGAGGGAAACAGAGAGCAAAGCCAAGGCAGGATCCCTCTTTCACCAGGCTCTCTGGAACACAGCCTTGCTCTTTTCCAGACAAACGGGGCCGGAGCAGGTCACCCTGTGGGGCGCAGTGGCCCCCGTGTCCCTGCAGATCCGGAGGTTGAATGGTGGTGGATGTGTGCAGCGCAGGAGCCCGGGAGAAGGTGCCTCAGCAGATGGGAGTTTGGAATCAGGTCCTCATTTGTGGGCTCCCGTTTGCATCCCCACATTTCCACGTGCATCCACATCCAAACAGACACATAAACCACATCCCAACCTGGCAGGTACCTGTTACAGCAGCGATGGAGGAGTTTGTGGAGGCTCTGGAACCTGAAATGAAAGAGTGAAGAGTGTTAGTGGTGCTAACCTGGGACTGTCACTACTGCACTGGTGTTCTTGTTCCTTCTGTGGTTTGGGTTTTCCTCATCTTCTGTGGGAATGACTTTGGAACAGGTGGTTCTCCCAAAAGCACTTGCAAAGAAGAAGCAGGAAACACTGAGTGCAGGTTCTGAGTAAATTAGGACTGGAGTTTATGCAGCCAGGATAAGTGTCCTCCTCCCCAGTTGGAGCTGAACCATTTGGGGAGCCATCTCCTTCTGTTTCAGGGGAAAAATGGAAGGCCACAGAAATCCATGGGGTGACAGAAGGTCACAGAAATCCTGCCTGGTTTGCCTCCAGCTCAGTCTCGGCAGAGAAGGGGACGTGACTTGTACTCTGGAGCTGTTTGCAGAGTTATGACACAAGTTTAAAGGCTTTATTCCCTTTAGACCTTAAGACACAGATGGATGAGGTTTGTAAAGGCTTCCAGGAGCCAGTGGGGCTGTTCACCTTCTTGTCTCCTACCCCTGGTCCTTCTGTCCCTGTATTTGTACCCTCAGATGGGGATGAAGCCTTGTCTGTGTCTGGAGGGGGCTGCAGCCCTGGGAACTGATTGGTGCTACCTGCCCCAGAGGAGTGGGTAGCCTTGCAGGTCCATGCAAGGTTGTAGGTGTTGCTCTGAGTCCCCAGTTTCTCCACTGAAAGGTGGTTGTGTTTGGGGTTTTTTGTTTGGTTGGTTTTCTTTTGGGTTCATGACAAAGCAGCCCTGTCCCAGTGCCCCGTGTTGCCTGCTCTCAGCATCCCTGGTGCTTTTCTTGAAGTCCCAGCTCCTGTGATCACAGAAACAGAGAATACAACAGTTTGAGTTGGAAGGAACCTTTAAAGGTCAACTAATCCAACCCCCAGTGGTGAGATGAGATGCTATTTACAAATGCTGCTCTTGAAAATGGGAAAAAGGTATGTCCAGTTCTCACACTTGGGGACAGGGGAAACGTAAATGCATTTTAAATGCTCAAATCAAACCCAGCTGATCCTCGTGGGTCCCTCCCGACTCAGAATATTCTGTGATTCTGTGGTTTAACTTTGGGAAGGTGACTTTGAGTCTGTTGTTGAAATGCACAAGCTAATTGGGATTTTAAAATGGTTATTGCTGGTGACCCTTGTGCTCTCTGTGGTTAAGATTAATGAAAGAAATGACAATACAGGCACAGAAAGCAGCTGAGTCTGATGCCATCAGTGATCCATCTCACCAGGAGAGCTAAAGGGTTTGGACAGAAAGGGACAGCAGGGATGGCTGAATCCTTCCAGCACACTGTCCCCTCATGATGCCACAGGTGGTGGTGAGGAGCAGAGCCCTTCAGGGGGGATGATGGGGACCAAGGCAGCACCAGCCATGGCAGGACAGTGTTCTTGTACCTGTTTTCAGCCAGGACCTGTCCTCCCTGGGGGTGAGATGCATCTCCCCTGCTGCTGCACGTCACTCATGGGACCACTCCCTGGGACAGAGAGCACCTCCAGGCCCAATTTCTCACCAAAGAGAGGACCAGGAACTCCTCAAGTGCTCTTGCTCTGACCTGTCCCTACCTTTCTCCAGATGGGACTGGAGAAGCCACTGCCTGCAACACCCCATAATGGCTTCAAACTGAAAGAGAGTAGGTTTAGATGGGATATTGGGAAGAAATTCCACCCTGTGAGGGTGGGCAGGCCCTGGCACAGGTTGCCCAGAGAAGCTGTGGCTGCCCCTGGATCCCTGGAAGTGTCCAAGGCCAGGTTGGACAGGGCTTGGAGCAACCTGGGCTGGTGGAACTGGATGGGCTTTGAGGTCCCTTCCAATCCAAACCATTCTGGGATGCCATGATTTGATACTGGAAGCTGTAGAGGTGATGGAGATGAATTTTCTGGTAGGTCCTTATGCTGTTGGTGTGTGGCAGAGCCTGTCTGAGTGTCCTGGCAGTGCTGTGTGTCTGGAGTGAGACCCTCACAGCCAGGGTGGGGTTACCAGGAGCTCAGAGCTCACCCCTCAGGACCCTCTGGGTGCAGTGAGCTCCTGATTGGTCCCATTTTCCTCATGTAACTACTTTAGAGATGTAATTGTTTTTGTGTCTGAGGCTTTATGACAATGATCTCAGCCAAACAGGAAGGAAAACAGTGTGTAAACCATGGTGAGTACATAATAAAATGTGTTTTCTTTGCAGAGGGGGTTTGGCTGTGAAAATCAGACCTGGCTTTTCAGATCTTTTCTGTGTTTTTGTCTTCCAGCTCACTGGGCAGCAGTCTGACAAAACTGTCCTTGTCAGTCCAGGAAAGGGGAGACATGATCAGACCTTTGATTTCACAGAGAGGAAGGGACTGGTTGGTTTTCTAAATCCATTGGGAACAGGACCAGAAAGGGAAGTAAAGAAAAGGAAGGCTGGGCAATAGGAAACCGCCTTCACATAAGGGTAGAGAGTTTCTAGGAGTGAACTGTGTTGGATAATTTATGGGAAAGCCTTCTCTAGGGGTTTTGAAGAGCAGGTTAAATGAGCATCAGGGTAATAACAGACAGGGTTATGGACAGATACCAAATCAACCAATGTAAAGGAGAAGAAGAATGTTTTAGGCACACATTTGCCCTCATTAAAGAGGTAGATGTACTTCTGAGGAAGGGGGTTGCACCCCTTTGCAGACCCATCCCCTAGGATGTGCAGGGCACTCCTGCTCCCCAGGGACACAGTTGGCTCCATGGAGAATGTGTGGTGGCTTGGGCTGTTTCTGTTGATCCCAAGAGTTTGCCAAGTTTGTTCTTTGTCTCTGGGCTTCCTCTTAAACAGCTCTCAACACTTTTCTGCTTTTAACAGGTGTGTAGATGTGTCACTCTGGGGACATGGTGGAATGGGGAGTGCTGGGGGAATGGTTGGACTTGAGGATCTTAGAGGGCTTTTCCAACCTAAACAGTTCTGTGATTCTGAACATTGATTTGCAAATGCCTTCAGATACTCTACACATTCAACACAAAAATAAATGTGCTGAGATCATCATGGGGGGCCAATATCCTTCAGCCACTGCCAGACTCAAAGAGCTCCTCCTCCAAAATTCCCTTGCAGGAGCCATTGTCTTGTTTTCCTGTGGGGAGAAGCAGCTGCTTGTGATAATTGAAATGATCACAGGTGCTTTTTCGTCTACCTGGCACATGAAAGCATCAAGAATTGCTGAAGAAAGGGCTGTTGTCTGCACTTAGTCTTTGCCAAAGGAATAGGGGAATAAAGGTGATGATCTGGCTGTTTATTCCACCATTTCTGGCACAGATGAGGAGAAATCTGAAAGCCTGAACAGAGCCTCTAGGGATGGGAGGTCACTGAGGGCAAGGGAGGTGACACTGGCCTGTGCTGCCATGGGACAGCTCCAGCATCCCTGGCACATCCCTGGTGCTGGGGCAGGAGGTAGAGGATTATACTCAATGCTTTATCCCACCACAGCTCAGCCTGCTGCTGAGGGACACACTGGAGAACTTGAGAAGTTTGCAAACCTAAGCCTCGGGTTTGTTGTAAATAAACATTTTCCCCCCAGTGCTCCCATCCTGGAGTTCCCCAGGGATGCTCACCCTGCTCTGCATGTTTGAGCTTTGCTGCAGAGAAGTGCCCAGCCTTGCTGGGAAGGGATGGAAATGCCTTTCTGGCATTTTACTGCAGAATAAACTGCCTTGGCTTCTCTAAACACATCCACACATCATTTCCAAGCAGAGCAGCTCTGACTTCTGGCCACTGCTGCTTGTTATGCCTTCCCTGCCAACTCAAATAATCAAAAGTCCCGTTCCATGGGGTGTTTTCTTTAGGGGAGGGTGCTCAGCATCCCGGCTGGATTGCTTTGGAGTGGGATGGATGTGTGCAGAGCAGGAAGGGACCCAAGTGCCATTGCGGGGCCGGGCAGCAGGACGGGCAGGAACAAACAGCGCCACGTGTCGCGGCTCCACACACACATCCCGGGGGACTCTGCTGCTGGAAAACATTCCCTCTGAGTGCTGCTGCCAGCACAGGCCTGCTCCCTCCACGGAGAGCCCTGGATATATAAACAACTCCCAGTAATAACCAGGACGCAGCTGGGATTGCAATAAACATCAAAGCCATTCAGGGACCGCGAGCAGCGCCAAGATATTCACTGTGTGTTTGGGTGCCAGTGATTTACAGTGCACTGGGCAGTTCGAGGTGGAGACGGGGAGCTGGCTGAGGGATTTACAATGGGAAACACGGCTTTCTGCTCCTACTGTCCCGGAAAACTCCCAGTCACCCACTGGAGCTGCACAGCAGCACCTCGGACGTGCAGGTGCTTTTCAGCTCCAGCTCAGCGTTCCCTGGTCCATTTTTCCAGAAAAATTTTCAAAAGCAGTGTGGGCAGCAGGGCAGGGAGGATTCTGCCCCTCAGGGGAGACCCCCCTGCAGAGCTGCTCCAGCCCTGGGGAACAGCACAGCAAGGACATGGAGCTGCTGCAGAGAGTCCAGAGGAGCCACCAAGATGGGCAGAGGATGGAGCAGCTCTGCTGGGAGGAAAGGCTGGGACAGCTGGGATTGCTCAGCCTGGAGAGGAGAGGCCTGGGGAGACCTGATTGTGGCCTCCCAGTGCCTGAAGGAGCCGACAGGAAAGATGGAGAGAGACTATTGACAAGGGCCTGGAGTGCCAGGACAAGGGGGAATGGCTTCAAAGTGCCAGAGGGCAGGGTTAGGTGGGATATTGGGAAGGAATTCTTGGCTGTGAGGGTGGGGAGGCCCTGGCACAGGTTGGGCAGAGAAGCTGTGGCTGCCCCTGGATCCCTGGAAGTGTCCAAGGCCAGGTTGGATGGGGCTTTGAGCAACCTGGGCTAGTGGAAGGTGTCCCTGCCCATGGCAGGGGGGTGGAAGAAGCTGATCTTTCAGTTCCCTTCCAACCCAAACCTATGATTCTATGATTCTGTGATTCTATGAATTTTGAATTCCTCTTACTTGCAGTAGTTCTGTGAGGTCAGATGTGTGTTAGACTGAGAGCAGAGGGCTCTTTCCTTG